ACTTATGCATTCATTATATGTATATACTTATATAAGTATATAATATAATTATACATTATACTTATAATGTATATATATATATAATATGTATGATGAATGTCATGATAATATAATTCATGTATATCAAATGTATATTATGCATTTATCCTTATGCATTCATTATATGTATATACTTATATAAGTGTAATGTATACTTATATACATATATCTATACTTATATATGTGTGTATATATATATATATAAAGTAATTATGTACATTAAAGAAAGAAGGGAAAATTAAAAGTAATTAGAATGTATATAGGACTAAATTGCATTGAATTAAAAATTAAAGAAGATATTTACAATTAAAGCATTATTAAAATAAATGAAAGCAAAAATCAAATTACAAAATAAAAAAAATCCTAATTGTTTGAAGAGCGTGAGCCTAATTAACCCAAAATATCTTTTTGAAACATAAAGTCCTTGCCTATCCTGCATCAAAATTAAAAACAAATCACTAAAAAAACGACCAATTTTCCATCAAAACCAATTGTTCTTCTAAAAAAAAAGTCTACCGCCATCTTTTCCCACCATTTTTTCCTCAAAAATTATCTCTCACCACTCATATGAATACACACACATACACACATATATATAAAAGTATACAATTTATTTTAAATTAATTTTAAAATTTCAAATTTTTAAATTTTCAATCTCAAGTAAATTTATATTTTATATATATTTTAAAAATTTAAGATAAATTATATTTAAATTATTAATTAATTATTACATAAAAATAAATTAAACTTATAAATATTTAAATTAATTTTATATAATGTAATAAAATAAATAAATTATTTAATGAAATTAATTAAAAATTATAATATAAGGATTATAATTAATATAGAAATATTAATTTGGTTATCATAACTAACAATTTGTTTTAATTTTTTTAAAAAGAAATCATATTTAATTATCATAGTTTATTATAAATTCAAAAATCTCACAACTTCGTCAAAATCTCATAACTTCATCAATTATAATTTATAAATCAAGTAAATATCAGATCAGTTCAATAACAAGTATGATCATTTACAGGTTGAGTCAATTACAAATCAGATTTATTACATGTCAGGTTGATAACAGGTCAGATAATAGCAGTTATTTACCGGGTTAATCTCGGGTTCGGGCTCATATCAGGTCGGATGCAGGTCGGGTTCGTTTATCACATTATCATGTTCAATTCGGGTTTATGTCGTTCTTAGGTCGGGTGCAGATCGGGTGCATGTCGTAAATTTTCAAGTCAATCTCAAATTCAGGTCAACGTCAATTCAGATTCAAATCGATTTCAGATCATTATCATCTTAAATAAAAATAATTTTAACTCGAGTTAATTTTAGTCAAATTTGCATGTCATATCTACATTTTACATCCCTAGAAAGAAGAGAGAGTGTTATGCAAATGCGGCGGGTGGAATTCTATGAATGGGGGAGAAAGCTTCTGATACAAATCAGCGGATTTGATTAATGGGTTCAGGCGCTATCAAACCTTTTGACTTTTGCTTCCTTGGTTCAACTCTTACAATAATATTGTTTAATTATTGATAAATACATATCCATTTATATATTGATAATTAGTATTCATTGATTTCTAAACATTTTTTCATTTTATATTAAAATAAACGAATGACTTGTAACTGAAAACATATTATTTATGATGATGAATCACTTATAATATATAATTTACTAGAATATATTTATAGATAATAATTAAGATCTAGATCAATTTGTATGTTACTACTAATCTTTGAAAAGAGGTATTTGAAATGATAATTATATGGGTAAAGTACACAAATGGTTGTTTGATTATAGAATATTATTTTATTAAGTCCATCGACTATTAAAATGTATTAAATGATCCATTGATTATAGAGTGTTGTTTTGTTGAGTAATTCGATTATTAAAAGTTACAAAATAGTCACTCATCTGTTCATTGTGTTCAAAACTCACTACAACAAAATTGTTCTGTAACGGTGTTTGGAGAGTAAACGCCACAAAATTTAATCATATAGCGGCGTTTACAATCCAAACGCCACAAATTGAAACTTTCACGGCGTTTATTGTACAAATGCCGTAATAGAGTAGTAATTTAGCGACATTTTTACCATAAATGCCGCAATAGGGTTGTTTATAGTGGCATTTTCCCAACAAACGCCGCAATAAAGATTACTTTAGCATCGTTTTTAGACAAATGCCACAGTAGGGTTAATCAATAGTGGCGTTTCTTGTACAAACGCTGTAATAGAGTAGTAATTTCGCGGCGTTTTTAGCCCAAACGCCGTAATAGAGTAGTAATTTAGCGGCGTTTTTAGCAAAAATGCCGCAATAAGGTTTTTTAAAGTGGCGTTTTTCGAACAAACGCCACAATAAAGAATACTTTAGCGTCATTTTTAGACAAATGCCACAATAGTGTTAATCAATAGTGGCGTTTCTTGTACAAACGCCGCAAAAACATGTGCTATAGTGGCGTTTTTTTAAAAACGCCACCAAATGTTAAATATATGCTCCACCCTTTTCTCTTGCTCGATCCCTAAAATCATTTCAACTCTTCTTCCCTCAAAGCTTCTTCTCTGGTACAACAATGACCCTTACACGATTCCAAGCGACGTCGTCTTTTGTCTGTCCCGGCGACCAAATTGGTCCTCTCACAGGCGAACTATAACACAATTGCACGGTTTGATCCCTCTTCTCACTACTGATCTTTTTCATTTTTATTTTTGCTGGTATTCTGAAAATGGGGGAAACCTAGAAGGCTAACGTATTTGAGAAAAAAATAGCTTTCGAATAGGAAACCAATATCTATACATAGTGTTTTACTGGTTTACTGCTTGGGTGCAGTGTTTTACTGCTTTCGAATAGAAAAATAATAGATTTCGAAAAGGAAAATAATAGATTTTGAAAACGCGAACAAATGGTTGTGGTACAAAGAGCAGGTGTTGCCTTGAGTAAGAGAAATTATCATCGGAATGTCCACGTGGCGTATTTGCTCTGACGATGGATCAAATTATCGTTGGGAGGCTATCAGTTCGGTCTTATCGTCGAAACTCGATGATGACCTGAAAGGAACTCCTATTGCTCCATACCCTTCTATGGTCGATCTCCTACTTAAAGGTAATAATCTATAAATCTTTCAGCCGCTATATTTTTATTTTGTACGCTCAAATTTCATACATCGTACGCATGTAGGATGTTCGAAGCTTATTGAGAACGATGATAGAGGAGTGGATAAAAATACCAGATGTTTAGAATTGAATTTGGGAACTCTGTGGTGTTGAAAGAATCTTCAATTGCAAAAACATTATCTATCCTCAATGAAGACGACGTTACCTCTACTGTTACTCTAAGTAAACGTTCCCAAGCCACCTTCAATCAACTTTCATACTGTAGGTGGAAGGTCATTATCTGTTTCAAGTGAAGCACTAAAGCGCGCAAGGAGTCTTCTTGGTGAACCGGAGGTAGGGGATTTATTTAGTGAAATGGATGAAGAGTTTCTCCATATAGAGTTTATACGGAGGAAAAACTTAACGATGCTTCGTCAAACAAGGAAAAGTGTTTTTTACGTCATTCCCCACGAAGGAGTAATGAAGACTAAATTGTAGTGAACAATATGGTGAAGTCTGTTTATGCATAACTTTAATGTTTATAAATTATTATGGATTTTGTTGTTAAGTATTTGTTTGCATAACTTCTGTCATGAACAAACAATTGTATGGTTGTTGTTAATTACACAAAGGTACATGATAGTAGATATAGTTTATGTAGAGCAGAAATGAAATATTTAAAATAAATTAATCTTATATAAATAAAGGTAATTAGTGGCGTTTTTGGATAAAAACGCCGCTATAGACCTGAGTTTTCACGACGTTTGCCGCAATAGGTTTATCCATAGTGGCGTTTCTATATAAATGTCGTTACAGATTACTGCTTTAGCGGCGTTTCTATATAAACGCCGCAATATGGTTATTCTATAGTGGCGCTTACAACAAACGCCGATATAGAATAGTACGTTAGTGGCATTTTTATAAAACGCCGTAATAGATATAATCTATAGTGGCGTTTTTTAACAAACGTCACAACATATTTGTACGTTAGCGGTGTTTTTATTTAAACGGCGCTATAGAGTCATACTTTAGTGACGTTTTTAAACACAAACGCCGCAAAAGATTTGGACAGTAGTGCTTTTTTTTAGTAAATCCGCAATATAGTAGAACTATAGAGGCGTTTGGATTACAAACGCCATAAATTTTTGTATAAACCCCAAAATTTTCATGAATGGTTCCCAACCCTATTATGTTTCTATCCTCCATTAGTTCATCCGCTCTCCCTCACATCATTTTCAGCAGATCATCCTTGCAGTGTCCACCATTCACGCCGTCGGTCCCAGCGTCGCGCCATCACTGGCGACTCTCGCGCCTCCATCAATCCACGAACCTCATTATTAGATACGAAAATAGGATTTATGGGTTTGAAGGGTTGATTGAAAATATGATTTCTTCCATTTTCTCTAATGGATTTGTCAATGTGATAAAATTTGTGATTTTTACCCCCCTTTTCTTGATGCAGATGATCAATTTTGCATTCTTAGATTGCTGATTCTGTAAACAATTTTTTTGATTTTGTAATTTGAGGCTTCTCGATGCGAGTCTCTGATTAGTTCTCATATTTCAGCATTTTTATTCCTTTTGATCTGCTGATATCGCCTCAAAGTATTCCGTATAAAAGCCGGAAATTTGAACTCTTCCTGTTCGTGAGTGGAAGGTTAGTGTTAATAACAATGCTGTTCTATCCGATGTTACTTTTTCAGTGTTCATCCGTCGTTTCTCTATTCCTCTTCTAGCTTGCAGCTAGTTATGGATGTCAATGCATGGAGATTTTGACATAGTTGTACTTCAGTTGTAGTTTAGTAGCAATTGCATTTCTTCCAAACCTAAAGAGAAAAGATCGAAGCTTTTCTTCTATAAGCAAAGGTGTGGTGATCTTCCTCAGGCCAGTGGTTCTTTAAGTTTATTCTATCAGGTAAGAACCAGGGGAATATTTGCTACATTTCTTGTATGATCAACATTTTGTGCATGAATATTTGCTAAGTACTCGAGGAACTAATAAACGTAATATATTGCAGTGCTCTGGCTGCGTCGGTGGGTTATTACGACGTCTGCAAAGTCCAGTACACTTGCAGTTTAGTTGCTCACTGCAACTTACACTTGCTTTGCTGATAGCTATTTTTCCTATTGGTAAGTTATTTCTCTATTTCTATTCGGGTGTATTTTGAGTGCGAAGTAGTCAAGGACTTTGTACGATCAAGCTGCAAGGATCAGGAATTGCGTAATACTATCGTTCCTTGTAACGTATATGTTTAGATAATCGTTCGTAGCATTTTGGACCATGTTTAGGATTAAGAATCCATTGATGTGCCTTTTAACATTTATGCATATGAATTTGAACTACTGAAGGAATCTTTCTTATTGTTTAACAATGCCTGCAGTGTCATTTGTGCTTTATTTGAGTTGAGAGCGAGTGGCCGCTATGTGCTGTTGATCAAGACCAAGAGGTAAATCTATCTCCTCTTTTATACTCGGTTTAGCAACTTGTATCTCATATATGCGGTACCATTTGCGTAGTCGAAATGCATCGATCGAACAAAAAAAATTTAGGACATGACCTCTGATAGGAAAGTATGGAGACTAAAGACTAGGGTAGTCGAGTAGTGTGGGTCACATCTCTAAGGTGTATCATCTCTGTCTTCTTTTAATGCCTTTGTAGTAATTTCCATGAATTCTACTTTTTATACGTTTCTGTTATTGGTATTTATGAAGGCTTAGAACTGGGCTTGCTATCGTGAATTTCTGTGTAATATTCTCTTTACTTTTAAATTTAGTCGGGTCTTACGTTTCTGTCTATATGCAGAAATTTTTTCGCAGGGATTTATTTGCAGGGATTACTTCCCATTTCAAACGCGCATATATATTAATGATATTTATGACTGCATATGAATACTGTTTAACTATGTATTTATGTATTTATTTATACATGCTTTGCATTTTATTTATATTTTTAATTTTCTGATTGCCGGAGGTCTTCCACGGAAGCTACTCTCAACCTGGCGTTGGGGGCAGCCTACTACCCTACCTTCCCTTATCCCATTGCATATGGGAATTGGGTTTTGTTGTTGTTGTTGTGAGTGCATGGTACCATTTGTTGCTGGAAGAAATGCATCGATCGAATGTGCGCACACACAGAGATTATGACTTCCCTTTTAGGCAGCGACGGTTTCGATTATATTTTAAGTCTCTCTTAGTTATGGAACTAAGTAAATTAAGCCTTGATCTCATTTTATTACTACTTGTATTTGCAAACCCCCCGGGTGAAGTTTCACCCTAATTCCTTCCTTGCTTTAACCAGGTTTGAAAATTCCGGGTGTTCTTGCCACGCGGCTAATACAGTGATCTAATATTTTCCACAGATTTCCGCGTTTCCAGGTGAATTCTGCACCTCAAAATTCTGCTTCCAACTTGTTTTATGTGTATCTTATATGTTTAAAGGCCATGATTACATTATCAAGTTGATAATATATTATATGTTGCATGCAGATTGAAAAATAGGGCACCAACGCATTGGGACTCAACAACTAAAAATATCCTCCTTCAGTAAGCATAATATTAGTATTTAAGCTCACTTGAAATGAAATATGTTAATTGAACCATAATACTAAACTGTGGTTGCGAACGTTATTATTAATGTTGTGTATGTTATGGCATGATTTATTTCTTAATTATAATTATGTTTTGATATCGTGAACATTACTATAGTTTCAAATGTTTGGTGGGTTTATAGAACATTACTATAGTTTCATAAATTCAAAGAGATACACACGATGTGCTTACAAGGATAAACGAAAGGGCATTCTTTTTTAGAAGTTGTGTTTGGGCATAGAAACTATATGAAATATTGATATTGTTATGCATACTTATGTTTGGGCATTCTAATTGAGTATAATTGATTAAAATCAATAATTCATCCGTTTCTCTCTTCCTAGGTGCTAATTGAGTTGAACAACTCGATTTTAATAGCTTTGTCAGGAAGTCGTTTGTCAGGAAACAAAGGTAATTTTCTCACCGTTATAATTTTGGGTTATTATTTTTCTTTATTTCTTGAACCTTTCTCACATGGAACAAAGGTAATATATATCATTGTAAGTTCTTCCTGCCTCTGTCTTTAAGAATGAAACATGAGTTTGTTTAGATCTAAATGCTAGATTTCGATGAAATATATGTAAAAGTATTTAGTTCTATAGTATGCGGTTGTATATATGCACCCTTATAATTTTTATAAATTAACAGAGATACACTTGCTCCAATAAAATTATATCAATTTAAAAGTTTTATAACTTAGGAGTTATTATTTCTATACTATGCAAATATTATTATGAACTAAATCTGATAGTTTAATGCTTTTAGGTGCTAACTTTCTCTATAATATTAGCATTTAACATTTGAAATTGAAACTCCAGAAATACGAAATGGATAAAAGTTGGAAGGATTTCTCAAGGGTAAGCGTCGAATATCGAAATGGATTTGAAAACTTTCTAAATTTAGCTTTTGTGAATGCAAGCCAAGAGAATATGATTCTTTGCCCTTGTAAGAAGTTTGTTAACATTAATTGGCACATTCATGAAGTTGTGTATGAGCATCTAGTTGTTTTTGGATTTGTTCGGGGGTATAGAAAATGGATATTTCATGGAGAGTTTATATCAGATAGATTTTCTTCCACGAGTTATTCGACTTATCCTGCTCCATCTCACCGTCCAATTGTTAGAGAAGATGACATGGAAGAAAAGTTACTTGATGCATTTAATATGCACAATCATCAGCAGTATGTTACAGAAAATTATTGTGACAATGATGTTAATGATTTCATTGAGATGGGAAGAATTGGATGTGATGAAGAGCCAAATGGAGAAGCGGCAAAGTTTTACAAGTTGTTGAATGAAATGAATGAACAACTTTATGAGGGATCAACGTTTTCAAAGCTTTCTTTCTCATTCGTCTTTTCCACTTAAAATGCTTGGGAGGGTGGACTGGTAACTCTTTTATGAAATTGTTGGAGTTACTAGGAGAAGTGTTTCCTTTTGCAAAAATCCCTCAATCATGCAAAGATATGAAGAAAATGATAAAAGATTTGGGTCTTGTATATGAAAAAAATTCATAGTTGTCTGAATGATTGTATGTTGTATTGGGGTGATCGAAAAAATCAGGAGTTTTGTCATGTATGCGGAAAATCTCGATGGATGACTAGGGACGCAGAAAATGTTAGTGAGGATGAATCTCAAGCACGATCAAGAAAGAAACCAGTCAAGATTCTGTGATATTTTCCTCTCATACCTAAGCTACAAAGATTGTTTATGTCCTCCAAGACTGCTGAGTCTATGAGGTGGCATCATGATGGTAGAACTGATGATGGATTATTACGGCATCGTACAGATTCTTTAGCTTAGAAGTCATTTGACAACAAGTATCCAAGTTTTGTGAGAGATCCTCGAAATGTCAGGTTCGGTCTTGCAACTGATGGGTTTAATCCATTCAAAATCATGTGTACTTCGTATAGTACTTGGCCTGTTATACTTGTTCCATACAATTTGCCTCCGTGGATTTTCATGAAACAATCATCTTTCATCTTATCCATGATAATCCCTGGCGAGAAAGGCCCCAAAAATGATATTGATATTTACATGCAGCCGCTAATTGCAGAGTTAAAAAAGTTATGGGAAGGGGTCGAAACATATGATGTGTTGACGAATGAGAACTTTAATTTACGCACGAATTTATTATGGACAATTAATGATTTTCCTGCGTATGCAAATTTATCTGGTTGGAGTACCAAAGGTCGTTATGCTTGTCCTTGTTGTGCTGCACAAACATGTTCAAAGTGGTTGGTTAATGGAAATAAGTTCTCTTATATGGGACATCGTCGGTGGTTACCTGATAATCATAGATTTAGATGTCAAAGGAATATGTTTGATGGTGATGAAGAGTTTCGAAATGCTCTTGACCAAACAACCAGGTCTCATATATTCTCCATTTAAAAAAATATCAATTTTACTTATAGAAAGATGAATCAACCAACTAATACACGATCAAAGAAAAAGGAAAAGCAGGTAAATGAAGAGGTTGAAGTTGACCAACTGAGTGACGATGAGTCTGATGAAGAGGATGATCCAAATGAGGTAGACTTGTGGAAAAATAGGAGTATATTCTTCGAGTTTCCTTATTGGAAGAATCAGATTTTGAGACATAATCTTGATGTAATGCATATTTAGAAGAATGTTTGTGAGAATATTATCGGGACCATTCTGAATAATGGCAGAAAATCTAAAGATAATCTTGAAAGTCGATTTGACTTAGTCGACATGGGAATTTGGCATGATCTTCATCTGTAATTACATCATAATGGAAAATATTTCTTACCGCCTTCTATATTTTCTCTTTCGAAGAAAGAAAAAGAAGTGTTTTGTACGATGTTGAAGGATATAAAGGTCCCAGATGGGTATGCATCAAATATATTTCGATTTGTTAGTGTTAAAGATTAAAGACTTTATTCTTTAAAGTCACATGATTATCACATATCAATGTAAGATTTACTGCCAGTAGTTGTACACAGTTGCATGTCGAGTAAAGTGACGTCTTGTATCATTGAACTTTCTAATATAATGAAAGCCATATGTGGGAAAGTTCTGATGGTTGAAGAACTTGATAAACTACAAGATCGAGACACCTTGACTTTATGTAACTTGGAGAAGATATTTCCGCCTTCATTCTTCACAATTATAGTGCATCTGCCAATTCATCTTCCTCAAGAAGCAAGAGTTGGTGGACCAGTTTTCTATCGATTAATGTACCCTATAGAGAGGTTTTATTTGAATTATATGTTTCAAATGACTACTGATTATACCTTTTAATAAAATGTATTTACGTAGTATGTTGTTTTGTGTATAGGTTCTTGGGTAAGTTGAAGTCTTACTGTCGTAATAAGCGTTATCCGAAAAGATCAATTGCTGAAGGGTATTTAGCAGAGGAATGTATGACATTTTGCTCTAGATATTTGGAAGATGTTGAAACAAGATGGAATAGATCAAATAGAAATGATGTGTTCAGTACTAATGACTTACCTCAATATTATTTCTTTGGAAGTTATGGTCAACCACTAGGGAAAGTTGAAATTGCACACTTAGATGACATCTTGGGTACAAGCACACTGATATGTTCTTTTCCATCACGATTCAATAGATCCCTTTTGCACGTAAGTCTTTCAGACCCTATATTAATGAAATTTCTTAATCTTTATATTTATCATTCTTTAACGACATAATATATTTTATAGTGAGTTTAAAGAAGTATTGAGATATCGTGCATGCTCCCGAAGATTACATCAGCTAGAGCTACATAAGTTATTCATAGAAACTTTCATGAATGGTTAGTCTAGACGGTAAGCAACTAAATCATTCCACATACTTATAAATAATATATTCTTTATTTTTATATAGAAATCAACCCTTA